AAACTCTTCCAGATTCATGTGCTTTAGTTCTTGAGTAAATTATTCTACTTCTCTCTATATAAGAAAAATAAATATAACCCATTGACATCACTACTTCCCTCCATTTTCTTTTACTCCTTTTGAAGAAATTAAAGCTGCAAACCACCCACTGGAAACTGATTTTACATAAGCATAAAAACAACAGTTTTGAAATAATTTCCAATATACTGGAAAAACATGCATGACAAAAGAAGTAACAGAGAAAAAAAAACCTGTTTGTTAAACAAGCAAAGATCTCTCTGCTAGTGAAAAATGAATGCAGAATCAAACACATGATTGTATAGACCTTAAACAATTAAATCCTTACTGAAACCATATCTGTGTTTTATGTAATGGTACTCAGCCCTCAAGAGATTATTTGGTTTTTTTGTTATTTTATTTGTTATTTTCTGGATGAGCTACTGGTCCATTAGGCAGTATGCTATAAACATTTCAGTGTGTGATGGATAATTATTTAATAGCACTTTTTACCACTGACAGGTATTCTTGTTTCTACTGTAGGGCATTTTTTCATTCTTACTTAACTTGGTTTATATGCTCCAATGGTTATAAGCAATATATATTATGACTGTCCTTGAATTATTATTTTTATGGTTAAGTTGCACATATTTTTCCTACTTTACATGTTGTTGCTTCTGATTTACATTTTTTTTCTTTTTTCTTCTTTTTTTTCTTCTTTTCCTTTCCTTTCTTTTTTTTTTCTTCTTTCTGAGGGCAGATGAAATCTTTTACTCCCCTAAATATCTATGTTACAAAATGAGAGGCACCAGCATTGACTTCAGTTACTTTCAAACACTGTTTGAAAGGAAAGGTTAGAATCCTAGTCTGATATCCCTCGCACTCAATGTGCAACTTAATCCTGTATGATCATCAGACTAGAGAAAATGTTTCTTGCTTCAGGGGAGGAACCACAGGGAAGGAACCTAGTCAAAGACCAGCAAGGAGGGAGTATAGTGTGGCTGCAATTTCCCCAAGTTGCTAACAGGCTCTGGCTTCTTCTCTCTTAAGAGGCTCTGGTGAATAAATGCCTTGAAAGGAGCAGGTATGGAATAAAGGTAAGATCTTCATGTGGATAATTAACTGGTTAGAAAACTAGATAACAAAGAAGGGATAAATGATCAGTTTTCAAGGCAGATGGAAATCACTGGTAGGAGATGCAGAGACAACCCATCTATGTTTAAGACGTTGTTTAACATACATATTATCTGGAAAGGGGGAGGTGTTGAAAGTTAGGTGATGGGTTCAAGAAACAACTGGATATATTCATGAAGAAAAATCTATGAATCTGCAACTACTATCTACAAAGACACCAGCTCCAGCGCTGGAAATCACCAGTCTACAGATCATCACATGATAAGAAACGAGTCTGGTAAGTATGATGACATGACACTTGCTCTGTTCTGATATCCTTTGCTAATTATCCACTGCATAAGATGAAACGAAAAGACAGATCCAAACATAGTCACTCTTACAATAGCATTAAATAACTTCTCATTTCTTAGAACAAGGGTTAATATCAAGGTAAACTTTCTAATGTTTCCCATTTCCTAGTTTTTGAACTAGGTGCAGGTGTCTCATCTTCTAATGGGAATAAGAGGTCATTTCTACTCTTTACTTGACTTACCAGAAGTCCTGATTCTTCCTGTAATCCCCACTTCCAACTCTGTGTTAAGCCATGAAAAATAGAGCACTATTAACAAACCGGATATAGGAGCATCATTGCCAGGTCTCCAGGCACAAATCCTGCAGGGCCTCCTAAGCAATGCAGAGAAACTTGAAAGCATGTGGAAATGAGGACAGAATCCTGTTGTCAAACGACTGACAGAAGAGGACTCAACAGGCAAGCACTGTCAGCTCTTTTCACTTCTAGCACCAAGCACCTTCCCTGCACTGAGTGAGAATATACGAAGAGGAGCTCTTAATCTACATCCCTTCTCTGGTAGACTCTGACTCTGGGGTCTTAGAAAGGCTTCTCTGCCAGTTTTACTTCACTTACATGTACTTAGGGCCTCACAGTTCCATAAATTTGTTTTGATTAGCAGATATAAAAGGCTGCCCATGCAGTCCGATGTAGCAACTGTGTTGACAAGCCAAAGGCAAGCAAAGACAAACACTCGATCACATGCAGAAGCTCTCCCATACGTTACAGATGTTTTATACACCTCAAAGGCTGCTTCTGTTCCTGTTTTTTTCATTTTGTTTTGTTTGTGGGTCTTTTTTTTTTAATTCATCCTTGATACAGTGGAGAAAGTGACTGTAGAATTTGCTTGCAAAATGCGTGACTGATCTCTTTCAACAGAACTTCCCCAAACAGCTTAGCTGTGGAATGTTTCAGGACTGATATCTAGAAAGATTAGCAACTTTCATTGCATCATGTGCCTGTGGGTTGGGAGCTGGGTTCTGCACTGCACTGCTGAAATCTGGAATTTGTTTATGCAGTCTTGTAGAAAAAAAAAGCAACTTAAAACTCAAACTCCTTTATACCTGTTTGCACATATTGGTATTTGATACCTGTGCGCCCAGCAAAACGTGTACATGAAAATTTGTACATGAAAACATTTGCAGAGCTTCTCTTTGAAAACTGATGCTGGATTAGACAGACTTGCATACCTCAGTCCTTCCTTGTCCTTCACTCTTCCAGACACTTGCAAAAAAACAGCCGACCATCTCTGCTTCATGCCTGACACCTAATTCCTAATTTCATATGTAAACAGAAATCACAGTAACTGACAAACAAAAGCACAAATGATCTGGGATGAACAAGAAGAAAGAGGGAAGTGGGTAGAATTTCTATTTTTTATCCTTTATGGTTTCTTAGGTTCTTTGTATAGTAAAATGGAGCAAGGAGTTTATTTATATTTCTTTATAGATATACTAAGTAAAAACAATCCCATCTCTGGGACTTCAGAATGTTGCCTGAGTTCCCAAACGATTTTTTTCTGGCTGTAAAGAGCACTTCTTGTTGCAAATTGTTTGAATCTGCTAAGCCTTTAGAAAAGTGACACTTCTCACTACTAATAATCTCACAAAACTGTCTGGATAGACAGTTTTACTCCCCAGAATTTTCATGGGACTATGGCCTTAAATATTAACCACAAATGTAAATTTGCTTTGCATTAAAAATGGAGAGAGCTTCCATTCTGATGTTGCAACTAATATGAAACGATCAGACACAATTCTAGGTATAACACTTTGATACAAACTAAAAAGGCAATGTGAACTCTGACCAGAATATGATGGCAGCCCTAAAGGATTCCTGTTGTTTCAGCAGCTAGACATTGGAATAGGTCTTAGTGCAAACTGCATTACTATTTGTGAGGAAATAGCAAAAGATACAGAAAAATTCAGGGAGTTCCCTAACTCTTTGGAATAATAGGTTATTTCAGTTCACATTAAAGCAGGTGTTCATTATGGCTTTTACATGTAATTTCTTGATTTACATAAATAGATTTTTTTAAATATTACTTAGTTTCAAAGATTTGGTTTTCTGGAAACGCTCACAAGAATTTGCTCTCTGGTTCCTCTTTGTTACAGCAGAGCCAATGAATCATACAAACGCTTTATTGCAGATTGCAGTTGCTACTTTCAGTTCCAATGTCCAGTACGAACGTATCTTACAAGGTTCTTCTTTCAGAAACTTGCAGGATGGTCTTCAGAAACTGATTTTACTTATTTATCAAACACTTTTTTTTTTTCTTGGTGGGGTTATGATTAATGCCTTGCTTTACCTCCAAGTCGTGCCCTGACAGAAGCAGCTGGCACGGCCCTGGAGTTCCACCTTCCATCCCAGCTGGTTTCCTCCAGGAGGATCAGCCGCCTCCTGTGGGCAGCCTGGCCTCTCTCTCCCGAGGCAGGGACCCGCTGATGAGGTTTCACATCACTGTAGTCCACCAGGGACTCGACGGCTCTTCCGGCGTAGGGCTGGAGTTCAGCATCAGCTCCTGGACTCACAAAACCTGAGCAAGGATCTACTAAAGACACATCATCCCGATGTGGGAATAAAGGGTAATTCGGCTCTCCTGCACAGGTGTACGGGTTGAATTTAAGGAAAGATTTACTGTCTTTCTCTTCAAAGCTGGCAAAGTCGTGTCTGTTCTCAGGACCTCTCACAAAGGGCATGCGCATCTTCTTTAACAGCCTTCGATATTGCTGGCGGTCCATT